TAAACGATAAAACGATACTAAATCTGGCAAAACTCCAAGCAATGCATAACATTTCTGATGATATTTGTCGCCAAGTGACGTCACATGTGCAAAAGAGATAGACTGATCGCGTGCGCGTGGGTTTATCTTTAGAAGTTCGTAGTATCATGGGGTGCTTAACTTGGTTCCACACCATTTCTATAGAATTTAATTCGCAATGACACGGAAGAAGCCTTAAAATATAAACATTATGTTGTGTAACATATACACTAAGATTATAATTACCGTATTGATTTTTAAAAGCACGAGCTGCTTCTATAGGTTGGATTTCGAATAGCACTCCTCGAAAAAAATGTCTCTTTCCACTAGCCAATCCTTGATTGCAGCTTTATTCCAGGAATTGTTAGGGAATCTCTCTTTAGGGGAGTGATACGATACATTGTCCATTACAATGATATTCTTGTGACCATTATTTGGTATATTTGACATTAACTTGTCTTTAAACCACGACTTGACTTTTAGATATTCAGCTGTGCTATTTAAAAAATTAGTACTTAGGTGCTGGATTCCTTGATCTTAAAGGAACTTAAGATTGCATAGATACACTAAGATTAAGAGAAAAATTACTAAAAATATATATTCCACCCAGAATTTGCAATATAATATACCAAATGTTAAAGCATAGATAAGTATAGCGCTAGTCAAAAGTCCGTCCCCTTCTCGTATCTTTTGAACGGTTATTGTTATAATGAAATTTGGAGGGAGGTAATAAACAGACGTAAGCTTCTTAACTAGTCATAACAGGTGACAGATGACGTTACAACGCCACTGTGACATAATTTTAAATGGGACCTTATGACAAGCGATACCTCGTTTGAAAGGTATGGAAAATACCTGTTCAGTCATAATAATTTTGTTTTAATTTTAATAAGATTAAGCTCATTTTGATGAATAAATTAAATAAATACTAAAATTGTAGCTTCTCATTTAATTAATAAATATTTCACAACCAGTTCTTATAGTAAGTGATCAAAATGTGCTCCATCTACTTCTTTACAGTAATGCATGCTATTCTAAACTCTTGCCGTACTCGTTTAAATGTGTCAGGGAAATTGTCTTACATTCTTTAATAATTCGTTGTTTCAAAATGTCAATATTGTCGTTTGCTGTAGTGTAAACTTTAGATTTAAAATATCCCCACAGAAAAAATCTAATGGTGTGAGGCATCTTATACTAAAAAGCAATTGTTGGAGGTTGCTCATAGTAAACAGTACGAAAAGGAATATGTTGTTGACAACTGTGCTCCTAGTAACGGGCATACTGTGCTTAGACTTCCTCCACATTATTGTACATTGAACCCAATAAAGTTAATATGAGCTCAACTTAAAGGAAATATAAGGAGAAGAAACGCTGCTCCAAAATGTTCGTCTACTGTTCTATAGTTAATTAGAAGAAAAGTCACAAAAATCACAGCAACCAACTGGAAAATGTAATAAAACATGTGATCGGAGTGGAAAACGACTATGTTAAATATCTACAAAGCACGTGGTGTTCGTGTGTATTAAGGTATAAAAACGCTTATTAAAAGCTTAAAATTTTTTATTATAAAGAAGATCTTTTCGGAATATGTATCATTCCATCATCAGTTTACTAAAAGAGAGAGTAAAAATACCAATATTAAAAACAACAAAGTTAAAATTTGAACATACAAAAAGAGAAAGTTGGTTTTTTACTACTTACATAAAAAAGTTGTTAAAAAACATCGTGTGGCCACATAAAAAACATTCGGTTGACATCTTGATTTAAAAAATAATATTCTTCGTGTTATTTATTCAGGTAAATGCAATAGACTCTTGACTTATGTAATATAAAAAGTGAAACTGGGGGCATCTTATATGACCCCCTGTAGTTGGTGAAGTTTTATTGACTTACATTACCTCTGATCTGTGTTGGAGTCTAGGGCTAACTGATAGAAAGATGGTATGAAAAATCAGTTAGTACCCGTCAATGTCAAGAGGAATGATGTGGTAGGAGCAAAGTCATTGTGCTTAAGTTTGTGAGTAGGCAGTTTTTAGTGAAGAAATGTGTTTTGTGTGTAGTAGGATCATAAGCAATTTTTGGTATTTTAAAAAACTGATGGGAGAATATAAATCAATGCGTGACTGTGATGCAAAATAAATCGGTATACCAAGGTAGGTAAAAATTTTTTTATGTAATTTAAGTGGTTAAAATTAATAAATCATTTTAAATGGGATGAAAAGGATGTTATTACCTAATTGTATCGTTGTATTAAATAAGTATATATAAAAGATGGATTGTAATTTATGGAAGATGAGTCGAGGAAAAGAAAAAGAAGTAAACGAGAAGGTAAGAAAGGGAATAGAAAGTGAATGTGACGATGTAAGATGGAGAAATTGAAACTGATTGTGATAGGAGGTAGATAGATGTAAAATTAATATTTATAGAAAATGTGTATGATTGTATGTGTATGATTAAATGAATATATATAAAAGTAGGATTGTAATTTATGGAAGATGAGTAGAGGAAAGAACAAGAAAAAGGAAATTAACGAGAAGGCAAGAAAAGGAAATAGAAGGTGAATGGTGATTTAAACTGGTGATATTAAAACTGATTGTGATAAGAGAAAATAGATGTAAAATGAATAATTATAAAAAATGTGTATGATGAGTGATGGTAGTTATTGGAGAGGATGGGTAGTTGGATATTGGCAAAGGGGTGATGTTAGTGTATTAATGGTGACAAGTATAGAGTTAAGTATGAATGATTATGTAAGTTGAAATTTAGCTATGGGAAATAAAAAAGAAAAAAGAAATGTAGAAGTGAAGTAAAATTGGATGGGTAGTTAAAAGAGAGAAAGTTAGTTTAGGAGAATAATTGTCGATGAAGTGGGACGAAGTCTCTGTTGATGCTGGTGTGACGGTTAAACCTTCTATTTCCTTTTCTTGCCTTCTCGTTAATTTCCTTTTTCTTGTTCTTTCCTCTACTCATCTTCCATAAATTACAATCCTACTTTTATATATATTCATTTAATCATACACATACAATCATACACATTTTCTATAAATATTAATTTTACATCTATCTACCTCCTATCACAATCAGTTTCAATTTCTCCATCTTACATCGTCACATTCACTTTCTATTCCCTTTCTTACCTTCTCGTTTACTTCTTTTTCTTTTCCTCGACTCATCTTCCATAAATTACAATCCATCTTTTATATATACTTATTTAATACAACGATACAATTAGGTAATAACATCCTTTTCATCCCATTTAAAATGATTTATTAATTTTAACCACTTAAATTACATAAAAAAATTTTTACCTACCTTGGTATACCGATTTATTTTGCATCACAGTCACGCATTGATTTATATTCCCCCATCAGTTTTTTAAAATACCAAAAATTGCTTATGATCCTACTACACACAAAACACATTTCTTCACTAAAAACTGCCTACTCACAAACTTAAGCACAATGACTTTGCTCCTACCACATCATTCCTCTTGACATTGACGGGTACTAACTGATTTTTCATACCATCTTTCTATCAGTTAGCCCTAGACTCCAACACAGATCAGAGGTAATGTAAGTCAATAAAACTTCACCAACTACAGGGGGTCATATAAGATGCCCCCAGTTTCACTTTTTATATTACATAAGTCAAGAGTCTATTGCATTTACCTGAATAAATAACACGAAGAATATTATTTTTTAAATCAAGATGTCAACCGAATGTTTTTTATGTGGCCACACGATGTTTTTTAACAACTTTTTTATGTAAGTAGTAAAAAACCAACTTTCTCTTTTTGTATGTTCAAATTTTAACTTTGTTGTTTTTAATATTGGTATTTTTACTCTCTCTTTTAGTAAACTGATGATGGAATGATACATATTCCGAAAAGATCTTCTTTATAATAAAAAATTTTAAGCTTTTAATAAGCGTTTTTATACCTTAATACACACGAACACCACGTGCTTTGTATTCAACAGGTATACTAGCCACTCCTGGATATCTCCACTTCATGGTTTGTTCCAGTTTCACTTTTAAAAAATTTAAATATCTACCAGTATTAACCAAATTAACTATAAATTTAGATGATACGAGTGATACTAGTGATAACAGTGACTCTGAGTAGATAGTAAGTACTTATTAGGTGTTAGTTGAAATCTTTATTTCTATTTTAATTGTAGATATTCTCATTTTGCTTATATATCTTTGAAAACAGGTTATAAACACACTTCTTGGTAGGACAAAAATTATTAACGTTTTACAGGAGTATGTCAACTAAAACTGTCACTGTCACAGTGGCAGTTGCTAAACTCGTCCGATACGTCTTAAAAGTGGGAAACCATAAGTAGAATGTAAATTTATAGGTTTTTATCGCTCAATCTCCCACCTCCACTAGTTTCATTTCTTTTTATCGCATAACTTATTATTTCTTAAGTTTTCCATCTTTTGCGTTATTCTGTCCGTTATTAGCGAGCTCATCACGGTATAGTTAAATAAAAAAAGTAACAAACTGTTAGTTAAAGTCTGCTAAAATTATGATTAGTTCACGATTTGGAATAGCGCTAAAAGTTTCTTATAGATGACCATAGAACATTTTGATGTCTTCTTCTTGTGTAGCTGTTGTAGGAGCGTATATCTGGACAAGATGTAGGGTATTGTTGGATATTCTCATTTTAATAGATATCCTGTCATAAACAGTAGCTAAAATCTACTGTATACAAAATATAAAATATTATACTCGTATTACCGGGAGATGCATTTTATCCAAACCGGTTGCGACGCTCTTGAGTGAGCAATTAACAGCTGGCAACCCTGTGAGTTTATTTCCCATAAGAAAAGTATTGCTTTATCTTAGCTGTAGTGCACTCTAAGTGTAAAATCCACTAATAAGTTTACACTGTTGATGTAGATAAAAAAATCTAGTGCATAAAAATAATGATTTACATTTTAGGAGTGTAAAGGGTATAAGAAATAAAATAAAGAAAACTTTACTGAAAATTTAAGTTTCCATGGATTTACATTTACAAAAAAAAGGTCGTAAAAATTCGTTTTTTTCCTAGCAGGAATAAAACTGAATATTGTAAAGTTAGTTTTTGGTAAGATAAAATAAATCTTCGAACTTATCGTGACTGAACCAAAATCCAAATTCAATAATTACAAAATGTTTATATTACACACTATCATCAAAAATGTGTACACCTCGATAATATCACCAAGGTTTTCATTCATTGTCTTTCGAAATACCATTAATGCCTATTTGAAATAAAAGTGTGTAATTTAAACGAACAAAATTGTTCAACAAACGTAGACTTATTAAATCCTGCACAGATAACAGCAAAACATTCTATATAGTAAAAATGTAATTCAAATAAAATTACACAAATGGTACAGCTTATAAACGCTACGTCATTATATTTTATTTTAAAGCTTCAAACATACAGCGTACCAAAATAACCGAAAAATGCGTTTCGATATTAATGAAAAAGTAAAGTGTTCAAAACAATATTGCTGTAAGCTTTGTTAGGAACAACTGATAAAATAACCGTTTGTTTGTCTTTGGTGTTAAAAACAAATCGAGTCTTAAAAAAATTGTTCAAAATGTATACATTTGAGAAAAAACTTACAGGAATCAAACTGCAAACAAAGTTATAGCTTTGAAAGTAGTCATACAATAATATATTTCTAGTCACGTTCTCTTCAAATAATATTGGAAAAAATGCAATAACAAATATAATAGGGGAAGGAGAGGTAATATCGCGCGGTGGGTAATATCGCGCAGGCCACAAATATGTACAATGGATCGCACAATAAGAAATGTAATCAAGTGTACGGTGTTAGGGAAAGCTGGCAACTGTGTAAACACGGTCTGATGCCCGCTAAATAGACTTAGTTGCACGTGGTAGCTTGAAGTAAATAGTTATTCTTATAATTTTGTGTTCTTCTAAAATAAGAAAGGTAAATAGTAATTTTAAAAGAGACATAAGATTATAAATACAGAAAATGTCTTCAATTCTTGTGTGTTATTAGTCCATATTTGATTTTTAATTATTGAAGCGGTTAGAAAACGAAATCAAGGTCGGTAGAGGCCGACCACTTATTTTAATATCTTTTCTTTAATCATTTTTCTGGGTTTTGGTAAAAAAAATTAAACATTGTATGGTATTAAGGGCTAAAGATGATCCTCGAATAACTATTGTTGTTTTATTTCTACCAAATTCCAGGAAAAAACATTTTAAAAAAGAAGAGAAAAGATATTTGCATCTATTAATAACTTTTCTTTTTATTTCAGATGGTGAATTATAAACAAAAGACCCAACGACAATTCTGGTCAATTGAGCAGCTTAATAACGATATAGCTGCAATTAATACAGGTGCCAAAACCGCCCAGTCGCTAGAAATTTGAATATTCCGGAGTCAACAATACGTGATCATTTAAAGGCAAGAGGTTTTGAAAATCAAGCTCCGGCTAAAACTGACTGCATGGGAATGAAACCAGTATTTACCAAAGTACAAGAAGCGGAGTTAACAGATAACATAGTAAATTGGGAAATGTGTTTTATGGAGATACGCCTTGGGAGTTGAGAAGAATAGCTTTTGATTTACCGTTGAGAAGAATAGAAACGAAAAGGCAAAGACTATCTACGATGATTTTTAAAACGGAATCCCCAACCAAAATCTTCGTCAGCCATAAGGCACTAACATAAACAGTATATCATCCTTCAATGCTGAAGATATTGGAACTTTTTGAATCTCAAAAATCTTGAAGACGTTTTGAACAAGTTTAAATTTAGCGTCGACAGTTAAATTTAGGGTCTACAATGTAGAAAAATCAGGGATGCCAAAAGAGGACAAAATCAAGTGTGAGTTACCACTTCAATCGAACGTGGACAGACAACTATCATCTTGTGCAGTTAGTGCTTGTGGTTTCTACGTCTCTATCATTTATTCTAGGAAACGGTTATCCCCAAATTTAGAGAGATGGTCTAATAGGATGTATATATGACAACGCATGGTCAAACGATTTGTTGTTCTTGAAATGTCTTAAGGATTTCCAGAACTACGTAAAATTAACTGAGGTCGATCCAGTTTTACTGGCATTGGTCTGGATTTTTGGGGCCCCTTAATATGATTTCGACTGCACATAAGAAGATTAAGGTGTACGATCTGGCCCGCTTGTTCAATCAAGCATACATAAAGATAGCAACCATGGAAAAGAGAATATCAGGTTTGAGAATAACCGGAGTATTTCCTTTTAACCTTACTAAGTACTCGGAGGAAGACTTTGCACCGACTGAAAAGTTTAGAGAACTTGTTTTAGAGACTGAACGAGGATAAACATTTCTGAATCAACACCATCAACATCGATAGCTACTGCGAAACAGACACCATTAACATCAAGAGTACTGCGGAATAGACATCATCGACATCAAGAGCTTCTGTGGAGCAGATAACATCGAAATCCGCAGCCAAACCTGGTCCTTTACCTTTATATTCAGGTCTACTAGAAAAGTCTACTACAAAAACAAAGAAACGACAATCAGAAATTTGGACTGCTACAGCAATGAAGGATATTCTCCTGGACAGAAAAACTAAGCGAGATGTGAAAACTGAGAAGCAAGCAAGGAAAAAGCAGAATGGTGATATTAAAGTAAAAAAAAAAATTGAAACGAAAAGTTAATATCCACAAGGAAACTAGTTCCTGTAGCTGGCTGTATACCATGTATCACAAAAATGTATTTAAAAATTCCTTTATAAAAGATATATATTAATTTGTTGAGTTGCTATCCACAAGTCCTCATATATGCTATCCACTAGCAACTTCCAGTGAAGTCTTACGTTCCTAGTATATAAAATCAAAAAATATAACTTAAATTTAATTTTAACAACATTTAAAGGGTTTTTACCCAAGTATTTAATGGCTCAAAAAGTTAATGTTTCTAAGAATAATAAGATTAAAGAAAAGAAAAGCGTATTGAAGATGAAGATGATTCTGAATCATCCATAAAAAGAATAATTTGTCAGATATATTTGTCAGTATCGATTCGAATCTCTGAAATCGAACAATGTCACAATCTTCCTATAGCCAATGAATACGCATCTTGTGCGATAAATTTGGAAAAAACGAGGAACTTTGGTATCGCTGCATTGGATGTGGAGTATATGCATATGCAGTTTGTAGTGGTTGGGAGTCAGCTGAAGGTTTTTAATGCAATGGGTCCAAAGAAATTATCAAAAAAGCAGAAGTATCAAAACGACGTCTATTTTAATACAATATTTGAAAAACCTGTTAAGTATATTGATGCGTTGATTGTTCTAAGTTTATTAAAAATGTCTTCAAATATTACTCAATTACTCTTAAATGATTATTTTTTCATTATCAACTGTCTGTGTAAAATGTAAATTTCTTGGCTGTTTTTGCTTAGCCGATCGATATTACCCCCCACCTTCCAATAATTGTATGTAATGTTGTTATAATAATAACTAAAATTTGGCCATTCTAGACCACCTGCGTGAATATGTCGACTTAAACAATCAGGGTTTCAAGGACTCAATCATCAAAGAGGAATCATAAAAATGAAATATTAGCAAACTGCCGGTACGGCAAACAATGATTTTAACAGTTCCTCCTACCTTTCTATAAGCTGCTATATATGGAATATATGCTCTGGTACTGTATATAAACTTATCTCAACCTAATAACTTTAGCTAAAATGTTAACTTAACTACATAGCTTATAAAGCTGTACACCTTAGCCATCTTTGTTACAACTTGGGTCATCAGAGCGTAGATCTCTACTTATTCTTTTATCATATATAATGAAATTATTAATAAGAAATCTAAGTATCACTTCAGTGATTATTAACGGTAAATACATTTTACAGTTCAATATAATGATTTTTAGTTATTTTGAGGGTGTAATGATGTCTTGAGATAACATTGTCAAATTTTAAAATCTTATATTCTACCTTTACTTTAATTTCTGTGTGTTTCAAGAGAAATAATGATTTAGAACATTTTTAAGCATAATCTTGTAGCTATTCTTGTGGCTATTTTTCAAATAAATGTTTTCAATGTAATCAGTGATACACAAATAGATATCTACTCTCTGACTGTTATAAGGGGTGTCCAAAACTACTACAAAATAAAGGATAACTTCTTATAAACACACACGACATTCAAAAAATGTCTAAATATCAATACAACCTTGTAGTTATTCAATAAATGTCTTTTAGAATTTTAGATTTTCGAAGCTGATTTTTCATAATAAAGCGTAATATGTATTCAAGCATTAATTGATTTTTCTTATACCATAGTAGTTGACAATTTAGGCTTATAGTCTAATCTTCATCTTTGGTATAAAAACGTACACAAAGTGAGTGAATACTAGTAAAAGTTTAAAAATACAGTTCCGATAAATTGTCAACTACCGTTCAGTATCATATACAAAAACAAATAAGTGGTCAATCAACCCAAAAATCTAGTACATCGAATGAATCACGATAAATGCCAAGTACTTTCCGAAAAAAATGAACACCCAGAAGAAAAATTCTTAAAACTTTGGGTTATGCAGTAACAATATTGTGTCGAACGTCTCTTTATTCAATTTTATTGAAATATGAGATGCTCTATTACATTTGGCATCAACAATACTTTCTGTTTTCTTCAAAAATACAAGTTCAATCATGAGTCATTCTCTGATAGAGTTAAACAAGTTGTACAAGCAGTAATATTAAAAAATACTCTTATTATTAGACACCTTAATCTAAATACACCAGTTTGTCCTCATTACCAGACAGGTTATCTTCCAAGAACCAGTTCAAGACACCCCATAGATAGTTTGTGAGTAAGGTGAATCCGCTACAGAAGACGGCATGATTGCGTGGTGCAGGTATCGACACTCAATGGACAAGTTGTAACAGAAGATACTGGGGGAGTGTTATGCTGATTCAAAGGCTAGAAGCAAGTGCCTTCAGGAGGCTGTGTCAGCTTCATGTTTTCTTTAAGTGTCATTATTCTTCGTAATTCCTGCAAAACCGTTTTAATAGTGTAATCCCTTTGCCACCTAGCCAATATTGGAACTTGTCTGTTATCAACCTGAAAATTAAAAAAAAACCAAGTTAAATGCAAATATTCATATTAGATTACATGGTGCTGCAAAGATTTTGATGTCTAAGAACAAAAATGTTTTTCTGGAGTATTTTTGGCGCTGAATCCAAATCCGTTGAGATTACATACAGTTTTTTTGCTAAACAAATTGCATAAATATGCATTACATTTCTGTGGCTATTTGCCAAAAGTTGAGATGTCAAAAATCACTGTTTTCCGTTTTGCGAATCATGATATGTGTTTATAAATTATATTTTTATATACCAAAACTTGATATGTCTAAGGATATTATTACAGATATAAACATGATGTATTAAATTACTTCATTTTAATTTTTGCCAAAATTTGATTAGTCAGCATATCAAGTTTGTCACCATCAGATTTAAAATGTGGACAGATGTTTGACATACCAAGTTTTGGTTACCAGCTAACAGATTTGTGCACTTTACTAAAATAAGGTGGTTCTTTGGTTGTTTTAAAACCAAAAAACTAGACAGAAAAATATTAGTAAACAATATATCATGTGGAAAGATGTTAGTTGATATGGTTATTAGCCAAAATGAAAATTCGCCAGTTTTAGTAAATATCAAAGAAACAGTATTACACACTGAAGTGAGGATTTTAAAAAATCAGTGGGAAGTGATATAAGAGGATTGAAAAGGTATTTAGTTAATGCTCAAATTAAAGAAATAAGTTCAACTTCTGGAGCAACTGGTCATACTGAAGAATTAGTGTCATATTTGGGTAGTGATAATTCAGATGTAGATGAAAATTATATTCCTTCAGACACTTCATCTGACAAAAGTGACAATGAGAGGTCAGGTAAATACCAAGCAATTCAATCTAGAAAGTGTAAAATAACAGTTACTACCAGTAATAATATGTGTGACAAAGTAAATAACGATAATTTTACAAATATAAGTTATGGTGGCAAAGACCAAATAAATAACTCTGATGTTCAACCTAAAAATCAAAATATAACAGAGTAGAAATGAAAGAAAAGATGTTAGGAGAACATATTAAAAAACATACACAAAAACCTGCAAAAGTATTTCAAGCTTACAACATACTGTCACAATAAATGTCACGAGAAACCAAGTAAATTCTGAAAGAATGAAGATAAAGTCAAATACAGATTCAATATATATTTTAAATATTTAATCTTTATTTTAATGCATGATGCCTAGCCGCATAAGTCACCTTCACCTATTTGAGATCGGTATACCTACAATAAGTTGGCCTGTGTTGAGCCTGGACTTAAATGCAATAGGACATGTTTGGAATGAGCTTAAACGAGGGGTCTGGATCAGAAATTATGCACCAGGGAGCATAATGGAATTAAGAGCTGCACATATTTATTTATTTTTATTTATTTATTCCATTAAAGTCCAAATTTCACTTATAAAAAAATGATTAATATACAATTACAACACTAATATAATAACTGTAAGATCTACACATTAAGAATTTTTAAATACAAAGATGAGGTTCAACTGTGCTAACAACTTGTATATGGTGTACAAATATTATCATTATTGATATTTATATAACAGAATAATATATATAAACTTATTTGTAAAAAAAGGAAACAACAAAAAATAGAGAAATGTAAAAATGTCAGTGTGAGGAGGTTAGAAAATGGTTCTCATAAATTAGATTTTTTAATTTTTGTTTAAAGGCATTGACATTCATTGCCTTCACTATGTCTGAGATGTTGCTGTAGCTCTAAGGTGGAATATATTTCTTACCATATAGTTGTGAACTTGATGAGTGTCAGTTGTTTCCATATTAGAGTGAAATTTCTCCATTTGACACTGGTGTAGGAACATACACACTTGGTAAATATATATTGATTGAATGTCCATAATCTTATTGGGTAGATATAGTTCTTTTGTTGAGAAGAGTCTTGGTACTCCAAAGATTTTTTATAGCTGTATTTTGAAGCACACAAAGAGCATTAAGATGGTTATGATTGCTTTTTCCCAGAGTTAAGTAGATGACATGGCTATGTATTAAACTGTAATATATATTTTCCCTATATTTAATATACTCCCAAGTAAGTCTGTGGTCAATGTACAGTCCCAAATATTTAATACGTTCCACTTTTTGTAAAGACCTTGATTCAAGTACTATTGTTAATTGTGGCCACTCTTCAAATCAAATTAGCATAAATAAGAAACAGAGTTTAACCAAGTATAGACCCTTGATGAACTCGCACTTAATATTGGACAATTGACTATTTACCCTGTTAACAAAGGTAAACTGTGTTCTTCCTGATAGGTAATCATTAAACCACTTCAACACTATGCCTTTTATGCCTAGTTTTCAATACAGATAATAACACCATGTGATGAACTGTATCAAAGGCTTTCCTTAAGTATTCTTCTCTTCTTCTTTTTATATAGACATGACTCTGTTTTTCAATATGCCTCCAGTAGTGTTCCATTGTTTTCATAGTCTTCCTACTGGTTGTCTTCCTATTGGGGAACCACCTCTTGCCGACTTTACTACTCTATTTGTTGTCATTCAGCTTATATGATCGTTTCATTTTACTCTTTTATTTCTTAACTAGTTCTTGATGTTCTCCACCTTGCATCTACATTGTATATATGTACTTCTAGCTCTGTACCATAGGGTCTTACCATCAAGTGTTTTCGTCTCTGCTGTTTCTAACATCCTTTTTGTCCTCTCTGTGTCAGGTCTTGTTTCTGTCACCATTATTGGTCTGATGACTGTTTTGTAAATTCTGCCTTTTGTTTGTTTCCTGTTATTTTTATTTCTCCATATTGTTTCTTTTCAAGATCAGCTGTTGTTGTGCTGCTACCCTGTCTAAATCCATATTGAACTTTGATGGTATACAAGGCAAATATTGAACACTGTAATTAATTACATCTTGCCCAAGTACTTTTGATCAATAGATCATCCTCAGGGGCATTTCGTCAGTTGTGGCCTATCCGACATGAGCAGAATGTCATACATGTAAATTTGGACATAACAATACAATAGCCAGAGACAGAATGACAGAATGCTTCTATATAACATGTAGCTTCTAGATTTTTAAAAATTTTAAAGTGTTTATTTGTCTTTGTGTATTGTATTGTTATGTCCAAATTTACATGTATGACATTCTGCTCTTGTCGGATAGGCCACAACTGACGAAATGCCCCTGAGGATGATCTATTGATCGAAAGTACTTGGGCAAGATTTAATTAATTACTGTGTTCGATATTTGCCTTGTATACCATCAAAGTTCAATTATTTGAACATTCAACCTTATATTGATTTAAATCCATATTGGCTGTTATACAAAAAAATTTTATTTTCAAAGTGGTACATGATTCTATTATTTACACATGTTTCCAGAATCTTGGATAAGGCTGGTAAAAGTGAAATGGGTTGATAATTACTACACTTAATGATGAACAAGAAGCAATGCCCCAAGAATTAATTAGAAAAGTCATCTGATCCATGTGAAATTGATTGGAAAGTGTAAATTAAGAGTAGGGGTGGTAAATCCAATCCTGAAAAATAAAGAAATTCAATTCATTGATGATTTTTCTGTTAATAACATCTTTCTTGCATTCATTGCAATGACGAATATTTAGAAAACTCTATTTGTATTATATATTGTTTTTATAATGCATCCTCCAAATAATGCAATAGCAGTTTTTGTAAGTTCAATAATAAAGTTATTGTTTCTACATTATCTACATATTTTAATACTGCTGAGAGATACGAAAAAGGCTATATAGAGACCTCCTCATTGTTAAAATACTTTACCTTCTTTGCTTTTTTTTGTTTATGTTAATGGTGTTGATTTCTAGAAACGGAGCAGTATCTGTAAAATATTCTGTAAGTATCTTAAGTATTTTTAATAGTTAAATGTCAGATATGGCTACTATCCTTGTTTTTTTTTACACATTAATGTATCAGTTAAGTGTATCAGTTAGCAGTCTGTGACTCATCATAAAGATTATACTTATGTATATCAACTTTGATACAACAAAATTGTGTTTATGAAGTATTAAATGAATGGAGTCTCAAATGTTGATTTAAATACATTCATAAATGAAAAGCATGAACAGAAAGAAATATTAAAAAAAGTACACTATATTCTCATTTAAAATTATCGTACTTTTTAGAAAAAACTATGGTATTCCCAATAATTTGTTCTTAAATGATAAGTGCTGTGATCTAGAATAACTAAACTTTTTGCATCTCATGTTTCTTCTGTTTACACTACAGAAGACCTGAATGTTGGATACTTTTCAGGTTCTGATCATTGACCAGTACAAAAATCTGGTGACAAGTCTAATGTTAAAAACTATAGTCCTATCAGCAATTTATTGACATTGTAACAATATTATCGTTGATGAGCAGCATGGTTTTGTCACTGATAGATCCACAGTAACTAATCTCTTGTTATTCCAAAATGATATAATTAATTCAATAGGGTAGTAGTCAAATGGATTTTATTTACACTGATTTCGATAAACCCTTTGATAGGATAAATTGTGATGCTATTATCAGGAAAAGTTTGCAGTATGGTTTACCTTATAATTATCAAGTTAGCTTAGTAACAAAAGTCAGATAGTTAAAATTAAGAACCACTTATCTAATCCCACATCAGCTCATTCTGGTGTTCCAGCCCATTGGTTTGGATTTTCAGTTTTCCAAATTTTGATTATCTGAAGATGATTTTAAGTTATATGCAAGAGTAAACAGTGTTAATGACTGTATTATTTTAAATAAGAATATATCAGCTCTTCAGAATTGGTCAATAGCTAATGGAATGAGATTAAATATAGGTAAATGTTACTTTCCAATGGTCTTTGATTACCAGCTTTGCAATACATCACTAAAGAGAGTAAATGTGATGAAGGACTTGGGAGTTTTCTTTGATTCACAGGTATCTTTTAATCACCACTATAATTCAATAACTAGTAAAGCTATTTAAAGGCTTGGTTTTGTTTTGTGTAATTCAAGGGATCTATCCATTAATTAGATAGTGTACAACGCATTGGTTAGCTTAACTTTATAGTATGCCTCTAATGTATGGTGTCATATACATCACATTTACATGAGATTGGACAGGAAGAAATTTATGACTTCAAGCTTTTGCCACAATTCTAATAAATAACAAAAAAGTTGACATTGATGGTGGTAGTATAAATTGGCTAACATTAACATGGATGCAGTACAGAAAACACGATAATAAAAATATATTTTTAAATAAATCAAGGAAAATGAAAATTTCGGGTCTTTTGAGGTTATCTGAAAGAAACTAGGAAATTTTCCATGTCAAACTTAACAACAGTATATGAAGGGCAAGGGCCAATAAAAGAGGAAAAATATAAGGATTTAGAAGAGTTGTGCAATAAAGGCATTATTCCTTCCCAGTATCATCTCTTCTATAAATTGTTGCTCACCAACAATAAGGACAATCAATTAGATGTGCAAAGTTATCAACATAATTAAATTTTTTGTTTGAAAATGTTTCAAAGTTTATGTTTAATTTAAAATATATATATATATATATATATATATATATATATATATATATATATATATATATATTATAATTTTAAATAAAGTTATAGCGTCTCGATAGGAATAATCACAATATATTTAACTTTATTGACATTTTAACTTCTAGACTTTTAATTCAGAAATTGTTATCTAAACATTTTACAAAGTTTCTTTTTTTAATAAATGTATTGTGGTTATTCCCATCGAGACATATAAATAGTATTTAATGCCACAAAAAAATAGCTTCAGAACAATATAAAGTTATAAAATGAATTATGATTATTATTTTCCCAGATTTAGCCATACGGCTCACACTCCCTCTAAGGGGAAAATTCACTCATCCCAGATACCCACGGCATCAAAAGGATTGAGCTCTGGTGGGACTCTTTCTGTGTTATCGAGCCCTAGGTGACTTGGTATGTTGGAGTATCTCCCAGAAATTTTCGTACACATCTGGACGTCACGAGGAGTACAGCTTTCTGCATGGCCTTATAAAGATGTTCATTTAGACCCAGCTGTTTTATGTTCGCTAGGAGGTTTTTGGGAATAACACCAGTAGTAGATAGAACAATAGGTACTCTCTGGGTACTTTCCATTCTCCATTGTCTCTTAATTTGTATTTCCAGATCTCTATACTTGGCGATCTTTTCGTTGTATTTAACACGCAAATTGTTAGTGTTAGGTATCGCCACTTCAATAAGTGTTGTTTGCCTGGTAATTTTATTCACTAGTATGAGATCTGGTCTATTATGGGCCACTGGTTGGTCTGTGAGCACAGTGAGGTCCCAGTATAGCTTGTAGTTGTCATTTTCAAGCATTCTGTCAGGGGCATATTGATAATAAGGAAGATGGTCGGTTTGGAGAAGTCCCAGTTTGTCAGCTAGTTCTTGGTGGATAATCTTTCCTACTGAGTCATAGCGTTCTTTATAATCGGTACCGACAAATGCCTGGCAGCCACCGGTAAGATGTTGGATGATTATTATTTTTATTATTAGTAAATTGGGTAACCCTCAGTTGTGAAATTAGATTATACTGCTACAGCAACAAAGAATTACAAATAGGTACCATTTCATTTTAGAAAAGCTTAGTCTTAATACTACTACAAAGATTTTTTTTTTTAAGGCTTGGTTAAGTTTTCAGACCAGGTAGAGATTAATAAATTTTAATCTATTGTACTTTTAATTATTTTACCTGCCACTCAGTATGTTCATCTCTGGAGATTTATCGATATTACTCAAATACAAATGACTTTGTAATAGAATTAAGATTAAGCTTTTCTAAAATAAAAGGGTACCTACGTAAGTCTCTATAATTGTTACGTCCCTCCACACATATTGTTATTTTTTATTAAGTATTTCTTATTATTTTATTTTATATTTAATTATTTTATTAATGTGTGTGTATGTCTTACAATCGTAAATTAATACGGCCCTGGAAAGTCTACCCCTACTAGACTTTTAGGGAATGCAAAGCTACCATAGTACATGCACCTTAATTTCAATCAGTATTCTATAAATCGGTGCGCTAAACACTTCAGTATATTTTGTGTAAACCTGTCCACGCGGCTAAGAAGAGTCCCTGAAGTCACCATGAGTTCCCCCAGTGCACTGTGAAAGAAGCAGAAGTTCTACATCAACATCACAGGTACCGTAATTTGATTGCATACACACACCATATTTATATTAATTGATAAATTTACATATAACTTATTTTCATATTAAAAATAATACCAGCACCTATCTAAATAATTATGAACGAGTGTTTACTTCTATAGTAATATACATTTGTTTACAATAATAATAGACTTTTCAGTTAAGGACACAAAAATGTATCTCTGCTACTTTATCTAATTGTTGATATTTTGAAAACAAAATTTATACATTGTTGCGTATGATTGTATTAATGTAAAGTGAAGATTTCTAAGATTAATAATTAGGAACAAAAAAGTTGAAAATAAACTACAGGCCATTACAATATGCAAATCATTTTTTTTTTAACTTTAAATAAGCTCTCCTTTAAAGTAGTCATTTTTTAGATACATTTTTGTGTCACTAAGCCGACAAATTGTAATCAAAGATAAATAATATTTGCCCATTATCCACTACTTAACTAAATATAGCATGAGAAGAAAGATATGTCTATAAAATTGTTTAGTTCAGTTAGGGATTTGCTACAATTATATTTAAATTATGAAGAGAGTGTTGGGCAAAATATGTAATACAGATGGCATGCAATGTTGAAGAAATATTAACATATATGTATTATATATGGGTCTATTGTTGTAAAAATGCAGTTAATAGAGAAAAAGGATAAAATTAGTCATTCAAATCACATCTGAAAAACAAATTTAATGGAATATTGAAATCACACTAAAACCTATTAGAGAAATTGTCATGGTAACCAATATTACAGTGTCTGTTTACTACACTGATTAAATGTACAAAGAATATTATTATGTATGTGTATAGATAAAAGATATACCTTACTACAGTTCTCACCAAGCAATGTAATTGTAACTTGAAAAATTATTTTAATACATTCTTATATTAGTCATTTAAGTTATAATATATGCCATATTTATCAAAAAAATGAAGATTACTTACCACCCCTGTGTTACTGTTTATACAGTTTATATTGATTCTAGAGATAAATTTTGCAGTAGGTGCATCATCAGGATACCTTTGGCCACATTCAATTTTAACAGAATACATCCTATTTTCATACGGTGTACGAGGGGGGCCGATTATCATCCCCATCCAATGTGTAAGTGTCATATCATCATCATTTTCTAAGCCCCAGCTAATAGTACCATCTGAAACACCCTTTTGACCGGCTTCTAGTTCTTCAAGTAGTCGAAAGTTTCGAGGTACAACTGCGACAAATATTATGTATTTTTAATACGAAGTATATGATAAAATTTGATTATCACTTACCAACACCAGTTGATGGGGTCGCCATTACAAAATACTCACAAACTTAAAAATTTTTAAAGTGTATTTTAAATAGTTTCGAATATTATGGATAGTTGAAATCTTATTCCCTACTATTGATTAACAAAGCTGGGCTTTTTGGATAACAAAAATCACCCTTTTCCTTCAACTCAAATACAAAAGATGTGAGGACTAATTCTTTCTAGAATAGAGATAGAGTTAACACTTCATCATGGAACTGTTATTTTGTCAGATTCTATACACTGACAGTGACAGCTGTCACTTTGAGCTCTTGTACAATTTTATGTGTTCTATTTTGTAATAAATTCAAATTGGTTGAAAACTTCTTATGGAGCAAAAAGACCACAAGAAAATAGTTTTAGAACGATATTAGTCTCTTTTACATTGTATGAACTGGCCAAAAGGAAAATGAATCTTATAAGATAAAGCCGGAGGCACAGAATAAATAACAATCAGAATGCCCACTCTGAGATGCCGCCTTTGAAGTTTGTCAGCACCCTGCACCACAGAATAATAAACAATCAGAATATCCACTCTCAGATGTCGCCTTTGAAGTTTTTCAGCACGCGCGTCATGTTTTAGAAGGAAACACATAACACAGACATATGATTTGTGAGGTTATGTAATTGTTTATATTTATGTTTAATTATATTATATTTATGTTATTATATTTAACAATGTTAATATAATTGTATAGCATGTCTATGATTGCCGTAAGTCAATTAAACCGGGTTAATTTTTCTATGCACACCACATAAACAACACTGGTTCCCTCTACAACATGGCGGAACGTCTGCGCGAAGGAGATGCGCATACTTAATTTTCCATGGAGAGTGGGCATTCTGTTTGTTATTTTGTGCTCAGCACGCGATCGCCATATTTTAGACGGAAACATAGACTCGAATTGAGAAATATGTGACAAGCTACGACAGAACTAACATTCAAATTTTTAGAGAATAATAATTTAGTACATTTGAAATAATCAATTCTTCAACTAAAGGTACGAATAAAATAGTGCATAATCTGTCTGTAGTTGAAGTAAATAAATTAAACCGGGTTAATTTGTCTATGCACACTAGACAAAATGTCACTGAACAGCACTATTTCCGTTTAAAACATGGCTGTTTCCGTCTACGCGTACTTATCTTTTCAAGCATAGTGTGGGCATTCTGATTGTTTATTATTCTGTGTTAATAGCACGCGAATCTCGTTCACAGTGATTTGTGATCTCGTTTGCTCTATTGATCTCGTTCGCGAGGACGGAGTCAGCCATGTTTTATACGGAACCAGTGCTGTTAAGTGAAATTGTATCTGTTGTATAGAAAAATTAACCCGGTTTAATTTATTTACGGCAAGCATAGACATAATATGCAATATTTTATGTCGTACTTTTAGTTGAAGAATAGATTAAATTATCTCAAATTTACTAAATTATTAATCTCTAAAAATTTAAATTACAGTTCTGTTGTAGCTTGTCACAAATTTCTCAATTTGAGTCTATGTTTCCGTTTAAAATATGACGATCGCGTGCTAACACACTTCAAAGGCGGCATCTGAGAGTCGGCATTCTGATTGTTATTTATGATGTGTTATTACTGGTTCAATAAAATGTTCCATCATTCCATATAACTTCCACATTTTCTGTTCTATTTTCAATACATGGGCAATAATTCTGTGATGTACATTTTGTAGTATTTTTGTAATTAGCACGTACCGTTTTTTTAGCGTTTATAGTAATTCCGATCTTAGCACTATTCATACTTAAGCTTTCGATAAGATGTTGTAGATTTTTTATACTCAACATTGCAATGATCACAGTGTCGTCTGCATATCTTAAGTTGTTAATTAATTTTCCGTTAACGGTAACTCCCGCTTTGATATTATTGAGCGTATTTTGTAAAATTTCTTCAGAATATAAGTTAAACAAAAATAGCGATAAAACACATCCCTGTCTAACTCCTCTATAGATCGTCATTTCTTCTGAGTGTTGCCCATCAATTTGAACTATGGCACTTTGGTTCCAATATAATGTTTGCACTATATTTATGATTTTACTGTCAATGCGCTTGTTCATAAGTATTGATATTAGTTTTTCATGTCTTACTTTATCGAAAGCTTTTTCGTACTGCGTCTCGCTAATATCCTCCTCTAGCCTTTCGTATGTTCTCTTATGTATTACTTTCCGCAGTACTTTTAAAGTATGACTCATGAGGTCAGTGTTCGATAATCGGAGCACTTTTTTGCTGCTTGTTTTTTAGGGGTGGTTGTAAATGCTGACTTCAGTCACTCTTGTGGTATTATTCCCGTATCGTACACAGTGTTGTATAAATCTGCCAATACTTCCAAGTTATCTTCTTCCACTAGTTTTAACAGCTCTATGTATTTCATCTAATCCAGCTGCCTTATTGTCTTTAAGAGTTTTTGATAGCATATTTGATTTCATCTATCGAGACGTTCTGTCTCTCTAAACGATTTAATTCTTGTATTTTCTGCATTCCACCTCTGTCATCTTGGAAAAGTTCTCTAACGTACTTATCCCATCGTCTTAATTTCTCTGGAAAATCTATTAGTAGTCCTCCTTTTTTTATCTTTTATATGTCCTTGTTGTCTATTTCGACCCAATTCCGTCACTTCTCTTATTTTTTGTTCATCTTTCTCATATCATATTTTGTTTCTAGTTCTTCTATCTCTTTACATTGTTTCATCAAATAGATTTCCTTAGCTGTTTTGATTTTTTTCCTTAATGATTTGTTGTATTTCTTTATACTTCTCTAGATCTGTTCCTTTATATTTCCTTCTTACTTCCATCTGTAATAGTATTTCTTCTGTCATCCACTGTTTTTTAGCCTCTGATCTATGTTTTGTCAAACTTTCTTGAGCTGGTTTCAGTACCATGTTTTTTATATTATATCAGTTTTTATTTACATCCATAATTTGTTTGTTCTCAGTTAGTGTTTTTTGCATATTAACATTCACATTTTTTAGCATCCTTACATTAATTTTTGGTTGTTGTTTTCTGAGTTCAATTCTTTTAAATTTTATTTTCACGTCAGCAACTAATGGGATGAGCTAACATCTGCTCCAAGTAAGTTTTAACTGAGGTTATAGTTTTTATATCTGCTATTTACGGTAAAGTCTATCTGATTTCGGACAATGTGGTTTTCTGTATGAGGAGACGTCCATGTATATAGTCTTCTCTTAGGAAGCTGAAACCAAGTATTGGCAATTACCATATTCTTTTCTTGGCAGAATTATATGAGCCTTTCTCCTCTCTCGTTTCTAGTTCCTAATCTGAACTGTCAAACTATATTTTCAATTGTACCTACTCCAATTTTTGGATTAGTCTCCTAAAATGTAAGTAATTGATTGTATTGTGCAATTCTGAATAAAACTTTTTGATCTGATCTTCGGTCTTATCAGCTGTGAGAGCATAGACTTGGATTATATTAATATTACAGTTTCGTGCTTGAATTTTTAGCATTATTATTCTTTCTGAGATTTGTATCACACCTAGCACTGATTTTCTAATATTGTTGCTTATGATGAAAGCTACTCCGTATCGACGGCCAGTTTTGTCTCCTCATGTGTAATAAATCTCTCTCTTCAATCCTGACCCCCCAGGGGGAGTGTAGTGATCGACGTGATGTCGTGTATTGTCCGTCTCCAGAGATCTCTGTCTCTGGTCATTTCTTTTAATTCATGCATAGGTCTTTGGCATATTCCTGTAATTTGATCTATCCATCTTGTTGGGGATCTTCCTCGTGATCTTCGGCCTTCTACCTTTCCTTGTATTATGAGTCTTTCCATGTTTTCTGTGTTTGCTCTCATAACATGCCCAAAATATTTTAATTGTTGGAGATGGACTTTACTAGAGAGTCGTTGGCTAACTTTTAGCTCTCTTAAAATTGAATCATTTGTTCTACGGTCGGTCCAAGGAATTCGTAACATTCGTTTCCAACAGAACATTTCGTGTCGTCTATCTTTCTTCTCTCCGATTGTCTCAGAGTCCAAGATTCACATCCGTAGGTCAGTATTGGGAATATTAAGCAGTTGATCAACCTCATCTTTATCGCTCTTGAAATTTGACATATTTTGGTCATTTTTGCTGTGGCAACTTTTGCTAGATCACATCTACGTTTAATCTCTTCTTGTAATGACCCTGTGTTTGTGATTAATGATCCCAGATATAAGTATGAGCTCACAACCTCGAACCGGTCAATTGTGGTTATGTGTGGATGATTGTTGTGTAGTCTATCCACTATCATGATCTTTGTCTTTGATATGTTTAATTGCAGACCAAATATTTGACTTTCGTTTTCGATCAGTCGTACAAGTTCCATCAGCTCTGCTTGACTATTTGCAAGAAGGGCTGTGTCATCTGCGAAACGTAGGTTGTTTAGTTTATGACCATTTATTGAGATGCCCTTTTCCCATCCTTCAAGTGCTCTTCGCATAATATACTCTCCATATATGCTGAATAATTGTGGAGATAGTATACATCCTTGTCTGACACCCCGTTCTGGATGAAACTCGTTCGAAAGTGTGTCAAGTACTTTAACTGATCCAGTAGTGTGTTCATATAGTTCAGTTATAAGCGTAATTAGATGTTGTGGTACGCCTACTTCTTTTAGTATTCGCCATAAGTGTCTCCACTTGACCCTGTCGAACGCTTTACGGTAATCTATAAAACAGATGTATAGTGGGATGTTGAATTCCCTAGATTTCTCGATTATCTGTCTTATATTCAGCAGGTGTTCTCGAGTGCCTCTACCTTTGGTAAATCCAGTTTGCTCTTGTGGAATTTCTCTTTGAAGGAATGTTTTCAGTCTCTCATTGATTATATGTAGCATTATCTTGCTGGCATGGGATATAAGAGAGATAGTTCTGTAATTGTCGCATTTATGAAAGCTGCCTTTTTTTTATGTATGGTCGTTATTGTAGATTTTGTCCAGTCTTCAGGCCATTGTTTGGAATGGCATATTTGGTTACAGAGTAGATGAAGTAACTTTACGCCGGTTTCTTCTGTGGTTTTAAGCATTTCTGCTGTTATCATATCTGGACCTGGTGCTTTGTTATATTTGAGCTTGTTGATAGCCTGTCTTACTTCATTTTCGAGTATATCAGGTTCTTCTTCCACCTCGTCAGAGATTTGGCTAACAAGCTCTTGGCGTTGATCATCTTTATATAGGTCCCTGCAATACGATCTCCATGTCTCTGCTATGTCTTCTCTGTTTGTTCTCAGGGTTCCAGTGTTATCTTCAATGGCCCAAGTTTTGGCTTTGAAGTCTCTTGTCAGGTAGCGTATTTTTCTAATCAGAATAGATAGAATAGCGTCAGAATAATCAGCCGAGATCTCTCGGCTGATTATTCTGACCATGTCTCTCAATTTGACCACAAATATTGTGGTTATTTATTGATATCTCTCCATTTCCTAACTATTGTAAATTGCTAATCCCAAGTATATCTA